GCCTGGGGGGGGTAAGAGGAGTCCTCTTGCAGCTTCTTCCACCCCCACCCTCAACCTAGGGCCTCAGGGTGGGAGCCTCGATAGTGGGTGGTGCGGTGGGAAGCAGGGCTGAGAAGTGGCGGACCGTTTCAGATGAACTGGGAAAAGTGACTTCCTCAGTGAAATCAGAGTTGACGGAAGGAGTTTCGTTTCCCCCCAACTGCTGGGGTAAGCAGAGCGCCAAAGCTAGAGAACGAACTGTCTTGGGGGCTGAGAGAAGATGTGAGTGGATGCATACCATTCAAAACCAACTCATACCCCGATGTGCATATTTCCCACCCTTTCTTTCTTTCCTTCTTTCTTCCTCTCTCTTTTTTTTTTTTTTGAAGTTTGTTTATTTTGAGAGAGAGCGCGAGCAAGCAGGGGAGGGGCAGAAAGAGAGGCAGAAAGAGAGGGAGAGAGAAGATTCCAAGCTGGCTCTGCACTGGTAGCTCCGAACCCGGTGCCGGTCTCGAACTCACAAACTGAGAGGTTGTGACCCGAGCCGAAACCGAGAGTCAGATGCTTAACCAACTGAACCACCCGGGTGCCCCATTCCCGCCATTTCTCTGTGCGGTGCCCCTAGGGCAGGGGCATCTCCTGCAGCCCTTTTCCAGCCAACCCAGCCAGGCGCAGTGGTACTCAGCATACCCTGCCTGTGGAACGCTCTCGGTGGGCCGGGCTGGCTGCCCTGAACAGGTGGTGTGTCTGGGTTGCTGTTGGGTATGATTGGAGGGGTCCCAGAGGCCTCTCCAGTCCCCCAACACTTATCGCCTCCAGCCGCCCTGAAATGTCAGGCAAGCCTTTCTCCAGGGGGCCCCTGGTAAGCACTGCTGGGAGGAGCAGTGGGGGAAGCCATCGACACCGAAGTATCAGCCGAAATTAGGCCCCAGGAGTGGGGCGGGGGACACGGGGGGAGGTCCCCGAGAGGATTGGAGCAGGGGCCACTGCTCAAGAAGGCAGATCCCTGCCGGCGCCTGGAGCCAGGCTGGAGCCAGAGGGCACCTCACCAGGGCCTGTAGAGGCATGTTAGGGGGAAGCTGGGAGTGCCCAGCAGCTGCAACCTGGATCATCTCCTTCTCTAAGTTAGACTCAGGGTCAGCCGTGGAGGCAAGGGAGTGGGGAGCAGGCCCCCGAGGGGCACCCTAGATGACTCAGGAGCAATGCCCTCCCAGCCAAGTTGCAAGGGCCACCTGTCCCAAGGCACAGAGAGAGTATAGCCCTCTTCCCAGCTCTTTTCTTGTTCCTGCCTCTTCCCCCAGAATGCTCGTCTGCTACCTCTGGAGTTTCTTTGCCAGGGCAGTTGGGCGGGGACCCCGAGGAGCCCTAAAACTTTTTATACTTTTTAAAGATGTGGTGAGGGAACAGAAGTGAGCTGAGCCTACAGGACGGAAAGCATTTGCTTGGTCCCTGGTTGGCCCTCTGAAGGGAAATCTGCTTTATGGGGAAGAGCATTCTGGGCGTCGTGACCACAGTTCTAGTTTCAGCTTTGCCACTAACTACCTTGACGTCTTGGAGAGGCCTTGTCCCTTCCCTTGGGCCTCTTCTGAAGAATGATCAGCAAGTATGGGTGGTCACTCAGCAGCCAGTAATGTGAACTAGATCTCTGCTTGATGGGCTAGTGAATAGAAAGGCATATTGGAACGGGTCTTAAAAGCTGGCTAGTAGGTGCTTCAAAGATGAGGGTTCTTGCTACATTTGGTGATCCCTCCAATACAACAGTGGGGCAGCGGGAAGGTCATATGGCACAGGGATTAGGAGATTGGACTTTGGTATCAGTCGGACCCAGTCTTAAACCCTGATTCCACAGTTTGCCTTCTGTGTTACTTTGGGCACGTCACTTTTCTGGGTCTCAGTTTTATTTTCTGTAAAATGGGCTTCAGACCATTTGTCTACATGTATAGGACTGTAGATAAGACAGTTCTTTTTTTTTTTTAAGTTTTTATTTACTTATTTTGAGAGAGAGAGAATAAGCAGGAGAGAGGCAGAGAGAGAGGGGGACAGAGGATCCGAAGCAGGCTCTGCCCGATGTGGGGCTCCAACTCAGGAACCATGAGATCATGACCTGAGCCGAAGTCCGATGCTCAACCGACTGAGCCACCCAGGAGCCCTGACAAGAGATAGTCCTTCTAAGCCCCTTCACACAGTAGCAAATACTCACGAAACATTTAGCCAGTGTCAAGAAGTCGATAGATAAATAAGAACAGGATTGAATGCCGATGTTTTCTTCCAGGCACACTTCAGAAAAGCACAGGCCTTGGCCACCTTAGGCAAGGTGGAGGAAGCACTAAGGGAGTTTCTATATTGTGTGTCCCTCGATGGAAAGAACAAAAGAGCAAGATCTGAAGCCCAAAGGGTGAGTTGAGATGGTATCAGATCCAGCTGCCCAGCGGGCTCCCACTTGTCTGTCTTGTCCAGGGAGGGACTGAGGGAACTACCCTCCCTGGCATTTAGGGCCCTGAGTGGGTGGCTCCCTTGGTTAAGGGGGCAGGAAGGAGACACAAGTGCCAATTGATTGCTCAGAAACACACCGTCCTCTTGGCGTGTGCAATCAGTTTGAGCAGTTCCTGCATTTTTGTAGGAGGCTCTGAGGCATGTTCTTGCTTCTTAAACTCAGGGTCTGAGCTGTGAGTGGGAAAACCACACCAAACCAAATCAAGCCAGATAAGTTAACAGGGGGATGGAAGATTCTGGAGATTCTGGCTGTTGACCAGAGGTCAGGGGTGTGGGGCTGCCTGCGGTTGTAGAACTTTGCTTTGGCTGAGTCACGGCCTCACCGGACACACAGGACAGCCAGCTCCTCACCAGGAATGTTGGTCACCATCTCCCCTGCTATATGCAGAACTCTAGCCTTCAGCCTTTGCTAGAAATAGAACACACACACTGTCTCACAGATGTAAGTCAGGGACCATTACGGTATAATGCAAGCAGCCATTCCGACGCTTGAGTGCCAGGAGAATGTGGCTGGTGTGTGTGTGTGTGTGTGTGTGTGTGTGTGTGTGTTTAATTCATGAGATGTTTGCACTGGTGAAGGGCTCAAGGGTCCTCAGTTCATGGACGTCAGTGCTTACTGTTCTGCAGTGTGCTTTCAGACTGTGTGGCCAACTGGCCTAGAAGTTGGATGCTGACAGACAGTGGTCGCCTCTGCCCTCCTTGTGCCCCTCCCCCTGTTCACCACCTGTGTCCAGTGCCCCCGCCCTGGTGAGGTTTGGCAGAGCCGTGGACGAAGAAAGGGAGCAAGGGACTGGACTGGCTTCTGAAGGCTCGGGAAAGGAATCTTTAGCAAAATCAGTGAACTAGGGGAGCCGAGCTCTGGAGGTTCTGCCCCACACAGATTTCTTCCTGGAAAGTTGCCATGGCCTGGTTTGGGAAAGTGGGCAGGGTGTTCTTGAGCAGAGCACTGGTGGCAGAGAATGTGCTCCAAGCTGTGGACCCTTTCCCGAATCTTAAGTGCAGTCCATGGCGTGACTAATAACGATAACAGCTAACGTTTAACGAGCAATTCCCAGTGCACCAGGCACTGTGCTGGGGCTTTCTGTGGGAGATATGACTTCATCTCCACAACATCCCTTTGAGGGTAGGTGATGTTATTTAATCCCAAGTTACAGATGGGACAGGTGAGGAAGCCAAGGCCGGGAGTCTTTTTCCCGAGGCCACGCAGCTCGTGATTGGAGAAAGGGCAGGCAAACCCAGCTCCGTCTGCTTCCAGAGTCTGCCTTCCTGGCGGCCCACCGTTCTTCTGTCCCAGGAAGACATGCCAGGCCTCTCGGCGCTCACTGGTGGGGTGGAGGGGAGAGGAGCAACAGGGCTGTCCCGTTCTGGGGGCGGGGGGATCGACAAAGGTTGGTTAGAAGAATCTCGCTCTGGCACAGCACCTCTCTGGAGACCCGAAGACGCAGAAGCCACGGCCTCGGTCCTTAAGGACCTCGCGATCCTGCATGTGTCCTACAAGGGAGCCTAGGCCCATGATGAGTGTCCCGGAGTTCTGAAGCTGGGGCGAGAACTTAGAGGCGGATTTCCACGGGCTGTGATGAGGGCACGGCAGCCGCGTACGAACACTGAGGGCCCTCAGCAGTTCTGATTTACTGGATTGTTCCAGTTTCGGGGCTACAGGTTTGATGAAGACGGTCCAGGTTCACTTGGCAGTAGTTAGCGACCTTAGACGCTCACAGGCCTAGGTTTCTTTTTAGTGTTTGCTTTTACTGCAGATGCTTTTTGCCCCTTCTTGACCCATTTGGGCCTTTCCGAGGCTGACCCTGAGGTGGAATTGACTTTCATTCACGTGGAATGATCATTCTCCCTGAGCGTTGACCCCCACTTTTGTTTTCCAAAGCCGCTGGGAAGGTCTAGAATGAGATCTTAGGTAGTAAAGGTAAGAAGCAAAGTGCAGTCGCTGTTTCTTCCTTGTTTCCTTCGATTTCTCTCCTCTGCCTCCTTGCCCCCCTGCCCCCTCCATGCTCTGCCCTCTAATCCTGGTACCTTCGGATGCTGTGTGGCTGCCACCAGAGAGCACCATTGCTCTTTTTTTTTTTTTTTTTTTTAAGTTTTTGTTTTAATTCCAGTTAGTGAACACATAGTGTTATGTTAGTTTCAGGTGTACGATATAGTGATTCAACGGTTGCATACGTCACCTGATGCTCAGCACGACAAGCAAGTATCGTGCTCTTTGGGGGAGGATTCCAGGGAAACTGCTTCAGAAGCGGGTTGGTCCTGTCGGGCCACTCGGGAGGGTTTCTGAAGGCCAGCTTTGGCTCCTGGGGAGGAGGGGCCTCTGAAAGCTGGCATTTTTGGCCCTGGGCACTGTGAGTACCTCCCTGCCTCCCTCCTTTACCAACTGAGACGTGGGAAGTGGGTTTCCCCACAAGCAGCTGGAACCCTCGGCCTCTCCCTGGGCCCTGGGATGGATAAGTGTCTTAATTCCATTCCATCCGGTGTGATGAGTACGTATTGGACATCTGTGACGTGCCTCCAAAAGCTGGCCATCTGGTCAGAAAGACGTAGGTGCGCGGCACAATCTGAGGCTGACGCGAGACTGTGTAGTCAGTACCAGGTGCTCGATCGTGGTGCAGCGGAGAGCACGAAAGGACAAGTGAGGTCCCGGAGGCTGGAGTGGTGGCACTGGAGCCAGCCTCAGAGGCCGAGCAAGGTTCGGCTGTGTGGAGAGTGCTGACATCCGAAGGGACATGGTGAAGGCCCTGCTGGGGGCCAGCAAGGGAACGGATCAACCTGGACAGGGTTTGCTCAGAATTTCGGTCCGACTCCCTTGATCGGTAAACACCCTGTTCTCCTGAGCAAGGGCACGGGGCAGCCCTTAAGTGGGTCTCCGAGCAGTACAGCGGCTGCCCAGTGGCAGGCACTTCAATGTGTTTTGGAAGCCAGGCGACCCGCTTTCTTGTGTTCCGTGTTACATACGGTAGAGACATGTGTCCGCCCGTAACCCGTGCTGGCGCAGGGGAGGATTGAAGCGAGAATGCGGGCAGTCCGCACGAGAACACACATCCTTGCCTCCCAGTCCCTTCTGGGGGTTCTGGGTCTTGTACCTGCCACGTCCCCCCGCCCCGCACCGTATCCATCTGCAAGGGAAACCAGCCGAGGGCTGGAGCCTGCCTGCCTCCAGTGTTTGAAGTTACCGGACAGTCTCCCCACAGCGGAGGCCGGAATGGGGGAGGAGAGGCTGGGTTCTGCTTTTCCCACCACTTTGCTGTGGAAGGGATTGGAAATCCAAGGAGGACGGTCCGGGGAGGAGGGCGCGAAACGGGCCGGCAGGGGAAAGACCTATCCAGGAGCCTGGAGGACGTTTGTAGACCTCTGCCTATGGTGGTGCTACGTAGCTGACTGCAGGCCCAGTGATGTTTCTCGCCTGCCTTCACCTCTCTGTCTCTTTCCTCCTAGATAGGTTTTGAATTCCCACCGTAGATATTTCTATGGAACACTAGCATGGGAGTGACGGTTCTTAACTGGCCGGGGCGACAAAGGCAGCCGTGGTGCCTTTTTGAAGTCCAGATGCCTGGGCTGCACTTGAGACCTGGGGCAGCCAGCCGTGGGAACTTGGAGCCTGGAGAGTTCTTACGCTCCCTGGTTCTGATGCACGCCGAAGGGAGGCCCCTTGCCCGGGCGTGTTGGGGTCTCCGGTCCCACGCTGCTTCCCTGGAGTGTCCCCCCACAAGCTGTGCCCCCTGCCCCTCCCACCCCTCCCCCTCTCACCCGAGCACCTGTAGAAAACTTAAGTAGTGAAGTCTTCTGTTTTATGTCACAGCTTCTCCTTAGTTTCTTTTCACCATCAGTCCCGGGGGAGTCTCAGGAACATTTTCCCGATATCCTGAAGTTGTTGGCACCTCACCCTAGATTAAAGGAACACGTAGAGTCAATGGCTACTGAAGGCACCAGTCATAATCTACCAAAGTTACCACAGGTAAAACTCAACTCGCCCAGCTCGCTCGTGATGCTTCGTTTGGCTGTTGTGTGGGCAGACGTGGGAGTGAGCCCTGCCTCTCCTTCGGTTCCTGAGAAAGAAGAAAAGGAGTCGCTGGTGGCCATGTTCTTTGCTAGGAGGTTATATTTCTTGCAGATAAAACTGGATTTCAGGCACGGTCCCCGGGTTGTTTTTTGTTTTTTTTGTTTTTCGTTTTTTTGTTTTTTAACCTTATTACAGTCGTTTTTCAGTTTTTGGTCAGATCCAGCTGAGGGAGAGATTTGACCGCAGTAGAAAGGAATCGGCCCGCTTCCCCTGGAACCATTCATTCAATCTGGGTGGCTTTATCAGCTTGGGGGCGGAGCCTGGAAAGAGGCCTGACAACCCCTCCTTTCCTGCTTTTTTTTGTTGTTTGTTCAAGCTGCTGGTCTTTGAGCACCAGCTGAGTTCCTTGTGCAAAGACAACTCCATTTGATCCCCAAGCGGAGGTAGTTCTATATTCCCTCGCAGTGTCTTACACATGTGTAGACTCCCAGTATGTATTTGTAGCCAGGAAGAGGGAAGCAATTTGGGAAGCGTTAAGTCCCTGGGAGAAAGATGGGTATTTGCGCCTGTCTTTGAAAACGAGGGAACAGAACGAGAGAGAGATGGGCTCCAGGCCCTCGCTTTCCCAGCAGAGGGCAAGTGGGCGGAAGCCGGGGCTCAGGGGTCCAGACTTGAAGGCAAAGTTTAGCACTGAGCACCGAGGCACCTTGAGGCAACCGTCTCCCCTCCGTCCAGGTGGTGTGTTCTTCCCCTGTATGGAAGCCCTGTGATCTCCATGGCAGGCAGGGGCCTTCCATTTTCCCTGCTTCTGTCCCCACCCTGGAGAAGGAACAAAATGCAGGTGGGCCTGACTTTAAGAAAAAAGAGGGGGAGCAGGACTGAGTACCTCCTGGAAGCAGAGAACCCCAAGTGCATTTCAGTCATGTTTGCGACCACTGTTACATGATTGAGAACACTAATCGGGAGCTGGAGTGTCTGGAGTGGCTTCCCATTGCAGCTGGAACAGAAAGGAAGGAAAATCACACCCCTGGCTTTTCCAGGGTGAGCCAGCTGGGAGCGGGGATCCGGCTTCCACACAAGCTTTGCTTTGCAAAGCAGTGTCTTCCCATGTGGATGCCTGGGGCTCGAACCCCTGAACCCCCCCAGGTTAGAGACTGAGAAAACCCATATCAAGCTCACTGACCTCTCCCGACCAGATGCCCCCCATTTCCCCACCTATCTACCAATTTCGGCGGGGGGGGGGGGTGGCTCGGGGGTTGGAGGGGAAAAAAACCCACATGAGCATTTGGACTCCTGGACTGTGGATTTAGAGTAGGGTTCAGGGTTCTCCGGGTGAATCTGCACAAACACCCCCTGGTGTTTGGATTTACTTCTAGATCCACTTTCAAATACCCCCTCCTGGACGGAAATTCTTTAAAAGGCTAGAGACATCATTGGTCGTTTTGCCAAATGAGTTGTCTCTTTTTCACTTTTCGCCCAAAAGCCAGTCGAAAGAGTGGTTTGTCCCTGATTCTTTTGACCCGTGTAACACGGGGCTCTGGTACCTGTGGTAACCCTGCAGGCCTATGCCAGAGCCTTAGCGAAAGTCCTTTTGGAGCTGGGTGTGGGGCTCGCAGATGGCCTGGAAGGGCAGCGAAAGCGACAGGAAGGATCGAGTGACAGGACCTGCCCTCACCGCCTGTCTTTGTTTCCCTCAGGTGGTAACGGGAAAGATTTGGCCAGGAGAGGGCCCGGTGGTGCCACACTCTGCATCTGTCCCCTTTATCACAGCCCAAGGAGTCTGTCCCCTACATACCCTTCTGTCCTCGCCCAGGGAAGGTCGTCAACTTCACCCAGGCCAGGCATGCCTTTGCTCCTTAAGCTGGGTGTCCACTAAATGATCAGGGCTGTGCAGTTTTCTCTCTGCCCCCGGTGGGTAGCGATGTCAGAGGATGATCCTGGGCCCGAGTTGGTGCTGACATTTGGCTCTTTCTTCGTCCAGGAAAGCCGGGAGCTCCCGCACTGCTCTAGTCAGGAGGAAGCAGCGGCCGCGGGAGACCGCAGCAGCCTGGAGAACCCAGTTAAAGTAGAGGGGGAGGGGCAAGAAGGCAACGGGAAAGGCCAGGCAGGAGACCAGGAGGAGAAGGGGGATGCTGCCTCTGCCAAGGCTGGCAAATGCCAAGAAAAGAAAAGGAAACGCTGTCAATTTGGACCCCAAGACCCAGAGGTGCCTACTAAAGCCAGAAAGCCAGGTACTGACTCTACCCAGGGACCAAGGGGCTTGAAGGAGGTGCCTGGGCTCACCGGCATATGCGGGTTCCTTAGCCTCCATCCAAGGGCTCCGCGGGCTCCCTGGGCTCTGGGTGTGCGGCCCGGCTCTGGCACTTAGCTGTGCCGCCTCAGGTCATGGTGAAGCTTCTGTGAGAGCGCACGGTTTGCTAGCATACTGCCGGGGCTCGCTAATAACAGAAAGCCGAGGCCTGAGGTCAAGCCCCGTATCGAGTAGTGACACCTCGTACCCTTGATGGTGTCGCCTTCCAGGCCAACCTGTCCCTACCCTCCTCTCCGTTCCAGGAATGTAGGGGCAGGGAGGCGTGATCAGGCTTCACGCTCATCCTTCCCAGCTGGGCGCCCGCAGCTAGGCAGTTGAGAAGCAGCAGCCACAGCCCGGTGTCTTTCCGAGAGAGGCTGGCGGTGCCAAGGTTCGGTGTCGGCTTTGAAGGCCTCGCTCGGCCCCGGGAACCGCTGCCTCTGTAGAGTGAGGTGCCTGTTGCATCGGAGTGAAGTCCCCAGGGCTCCCGGACGTTCCCTGGTTCGCATCTCTCTTCCCGTGGGCCTGCTGGAAACCTACCAGGGCCTCCCTCAGGGGACCCCACTCCCAGTGGCTCGGGTGGCCACCGAATCAACCCTCTGGGAGGCGCTGAGGGTGGAAAGCTGAAAATCTAGTGGGGTGGTTCTGCCTCAGAAGTGCTGACTGTGCAAGCTAGCTTGGTCTGCCTCTGACATACTGCTTTCTAAATCACAGATCCTCCCGCTGACCAGGGGGCCAGAGCTGCGGTCAGTGCTCCACTCCCGTCCTTTGATGCATCTGACCTTGAATGCTCCCTGTGTATGAGGTATGTGAAGGGTACTATCGCTTACTGCCTGAAGCTGCTTTTTCTGGGGGGATTCTGGACCTTTCTGCCAGGGACCTACCGTTTGGTTGGTTAGCACGGAAAAGCATGGTTCTAACAAAATGAAAATCTTGCTGTTGGTTGTCACACGGGCTAGCTCGTGTCCCTTGCTTACAGATTACACTCCCTGCACTCCTGACTGGGAAATACCAAGACAGCGGGGAGGAAACGGTCCACTCAGAGTCGCAAACTGATGGCCACAGGCTGAATGTCTTTAGTGTGGCCTTCACGGGAGTTTTTTGGTTGTTGTTAAATGTGAATGCTCCGAGACAGGACACACGCTCTCCAGTTGGGCCATGGCTCCCCTCCCCCCCCACCACCTGACAGTACCAGCCTGTGTCTCATATTTGCATTACTTTCCTGGCACCTCGTAGGTAGTTGAGTTCCTGACCGTGGAACGAATCGCAACTGCTCGATCAAGATCTCAAAGCTCAGGGGCTAATGTCGATGCCATGGGCCTGTTCTTTGGCAGTCAAGTAGAGGGCCCAACTGGTTTTTGTTTCGAACAGTGTTAGTACTAGGCACGTACTACTCGGCCTGGCATCTCTTCTCTACCCAGTGGGGAGGCAGATTATGCACACACCTGCCCACCCCTCCCCTCAAAAAAAAAAAAAAAAAGGAAGCCGGTAGAAGCATGGTCTGCGTGCAAAAAATTACATCCATCTGTTTCATTTCACAGCTGTGACTTTGTGGCTAAGAGGATGAGCTCCAAAGCCAGACAGGGTGGGCCTGAGCCCTGGCTCTGCCGTTTACTGGCTGTTCGGCCTGGAGCAAGTGATCTTCTTTGCCACTGTTTTCTCGTCAGTAAATAGGGAAGAGTATTACCTACCCTGTGAGGTTGTCATGATTGAGAGACTCTCAGTTCTCTTATTAGAATAGTGCTTGACATAGAGTAAATACTCCATAAATGGGAACTTTTTTTCCTAGGCCAGAGATTCTTCAACTTTAGGCCCCCGGACCCCTGAGGAAGTTCTATGTGTGGATTCTACATAGATCTATGAATTGCCTCAAGTTGTATGTAAAAATGTGTGTGTGTGTGTGTGTGTGTGTGTGTGTGTGTGTGTGTTTCCAGAGCAAGGTCCACAGAATTCAGTAGATTCTCAAATGTGGATTGTTTTTTTTTTCAACATAGCATTAAAAGAAGACTGAGACATTTGCACAAAAGTTGTTAAGATGGTTGACCCAAGAGATGTCAAGAAAAATCTCGTGGTCTACCACACACTGGGATCCAGCCAACCAAGGATCCTGAGATGTTTTCTTGCCCTTTGCGAGCACGATGCCTTCCATATCAATCACGTGCATTTGTATTCGGAAGGACTTTTCTTGTTTGCATAGAAACGAGTAAGGCCGCCATTGCCTGGACATGTACTTTTTCTCTCTTAAAAAAAAAAAATTGCAGTGCGCCTGGGCGGCTCAGCCGGTTAAGCGTCCAACTCCGGCTCAGGTCTGATCTCACCGTTCGTGAGTTCGAGCCCCGCGTCGGGCTCTGTGCTGACAGCTTGGAGCCCGGAGCCTGCTTCAGACTCTCTCTCTTCGTCTCTCTCTGCCCCTCCCCCACTCACTCTCTGCGTCTCTCTCTCTCTCTCTCTCAAAAATAAATAAACATTTCGAAAAAATTGAGTTGTCAGACTTGCTCCTGGGATCAGGCAGACCTGAAAATGACCAGTTCGGCAGATGGAACGCAGCAGCACCCAAGGAGAGCCTTCTGGATGTAATACGGGAGGTTTGGGTGGAGGGGGCGAGAGTGAGGTGGGTTATGTAACCAGTTCCCTTTTGCCATCTCCCTCTCCCCCTCACAACAAAGCAGTAGGCGGGTCCTGGCCAAGCAGAGAAATGGGCCTTTGCCATCGAGGCTCTAAGCCTGCGATGTGAGCCGCGGTCTTCCAGGTGTCAGACTTCGACAGACTTGGTTCAGCTTGCTCAGAGAGCCCGAGTCCTCGCCGGACTCACCCTCCTCTTCACGCCCCTCCCGACATCCAGCGAAACCAGCAAAACCAAACACACAGACTCATCCTGTTTGTGTTTTCGCTGAGGACTCACAACCCCGAGGTTGGAGTTCTTTTGTTCTGGTTCCTCCGCTCTCTCCCTTCCGTGTTGTTTGTCCCTGATCTCAACAGGGAGCTTCGGAGAAGGGTTAGAAATTTGCTCCGAGAAATAAACACCAGGAGGATGAGACCCCCCCCCTTCTGGTTTGCTCGCCCTGAGTTTAAAAGCCTTCACTTCCCTTATCCTGCCCCTCTGCTCTGAGTGGGGCTTCAGAACAAAAGCCCATCTTTGTCTGGGGGCAACTGTCGGATAGGCCTAGGAAGTTATAGGGGGACTCCAGCCGCTTTAGGGTGCCGAGAAACCTGCCAAGTCCGGAGAGCGTTTGTGACCTCGAGGCTCTGAAGGCCCTAGCCCTTGGTCACAAGCACGTAGTTCCCCCTCCAGCAGGGTTTGTCTGCAAGGCGGATATCAGATGTTGACAAGGCCGTTTCACAGACATGCCTTGGTCTGAACACAGCCCTGACAGACTTCCTGCTTCCAACCCGCTAGTGGTTTTTTTTTTCCTTTTTATTGTCATTGGGATCCGTACCGGCTTCTATCACGACCCTCACTTGTCTTTGGCAGGGGGAGAGGGCGGCTAAGGGTTGAGATATCTTCAGACCATCTGCTGGGTCACGAAACTAGACATTTGCACCTCCTGCGCAAGTTTCTAGAATGAAATCCAGTCCCGCGGCACCGCATCGGTAGAAGACAAGTTGGAGCGTGAAGCCGGCCTGGCTCTGGAGAGACACTCGGGAGCGGCTTCCGTGTCTCGCAGGGAAAGGGGCGGAAAAGACGAATGGAACGGTAACTGGAGCGTGCGTTAATGAGACACTTGATAATCGCCGAGTCCCTCTGGCTGGATTGGCAGAGCTCCGTCGAGGGAGGCTGCTTCCTAATTCCAACGCCTCAGAACTCTGCTCCTCAGTCTTTAGTGACCGAAACCCCTCCCTTGAGATCTACGGAGGTGGGAGCCTCTCGCCGCTGGGGTGGGTGGGAGGGCACCTCTGGGGCTGGTGTGGAACAGCGCCTTTGGGGTGACAAGGCTATTTTGAGATGTGGAGCAAGCATGTGTGATTTTTGAACCACTTACCTAATGGCCCAGTGACCTCTTTGTCAATCGCAATGAAAACTTTGTATTTAACCTCGTTTTAGCCACTCGAATAGCTGGGCGTTAAGCAGCCGGTTCCCTTCCCCCCACCCCCTCACCGTCTCTCTCCTTCCTGCCCTCCCTCCCTCCCTCTCTCTCTCTCTTTCCCTCTCTCCACCCCCTCCTTCTTATTCCTTCTTCACTCTCATTTGATAGCACCAAAAGAACACAATACAAGGATGTAACTGGTGGGCAAAGATAGCTATTTCCAGACAAGCCAAGCATTTTATCCGGGCTGACATCTAACTGAAAGCATTTATTATTACTATTGTTTACTCCGCCGCTGTGACAATGTAAAATGCTTTCTTGTGAGAAAATCCGGCTCTACTCTGATTTATAAATGCCTCCCTGACGTGTTTTCTGAAATCATTACCTAAAGCGGTAAATGAAAGGGAGAGGAATTCGAGTATATTCCTGTTTCGAGCTCTCTCTCTATGGAGTTCTCTCTCTCTCTGGAGTGGGGCGAGAGGGAAGGGAGAGAGACAGAGAGGGACAGAGAAAACTATGTTGTCAGTACGTGCAGGTACACACGGATAGATGATGTCTGTTCCAGATGTGCACATGCTCACAGCCGTGTCACGGAGTGCAGAGGGAATCAGATGTGACTCTACTTCCCAAGCCCTGCTGTTTCCTAGCTAGCTGTGTGACCTTGGGCAAGTCATCTAACCTGAGTCTTAATTTCCTCAATAGTAAAGCGGAACTAATCCTCATTACCACCTATCAATGTACAAAGTTAATTTATATGAAAAACAGTTTTACAGGCACCCAGAATAGCAAGTGAAATCTACTCCACCTGTTCCTTGCCACTTTACTCAGTCGGCCTTTCTAGAGGAGCGGAGCAGCTCTGAAGCTAGAAGCGAATTGCGTCCTGAAAGGTGATACATTCGAAGCATCTGAACTTTGAGTTATTTCAAGGCAATCATTATACCACATCTGTGGCAGCATTCTTGTCTGTGACCACTCGATCAGGGCGTTTTGTTCGCAGTTCTTGCTAAGAGTTGCCGTTTCCTTCGGTGTCTGTTTCACCCATCTGCTCGTGAAGTGTCAGGATTTACTGCAGTTAACTAGCCAGCGATATCGTTGTTTGACAAAAGGCCCAATTTTGAAATTCTTGGGAAAAACAGTTTTGCAGGTATAGACTCCCCAGTCGTTGCCACCATTAACGTCATCGACTAATGTACCACAAGTATTCGGATTCATAGCATTCAGATTACTGCAGATTATGAGACTTTCTCGTTTGGCCGTTCTAGTAGATCACAGCAGTGGTTTCCAAATCAGCCTGCCAATTTTTTTTTAATGTTTATTTATTTTTGAGACAGAGGGAGACAGAGCATGAACGGGGGAAGGTCAGAGAGAGAGGGAGACACAGAATCTGAAACAGGCTCCAGGCTCTGAGCTGTCAGCACAGAGCCCGATGAGGGGCTCGAACTCACGGACCGCGAGATCATGACCTGAGCCGAAGTCGGACGCTTAACCGACTGAGCCACCCAGGCGCCCCATTGCCAATCACACTTTTGAGAGACATGGTAAGATGTGAAATAAACACTTTGGACAAGTACATAAAAATTAAAAACGTATTCTCTTAACAAAATATTGTAAAGAGGATACTCAGTCAGCCTTTCTCAGTTCAAGAACTAAAACACAGCCAGGACCCCAGAAGCCTTCCGTGTGCCGCTTCCAAATCACGACTCCTTGCCCCCCGCCCACCGAAACCGCTACCTTGACTTTTGTCTCTTCTTTTTATCTTTTTAAGTTGATTTATTTATTTTGAGAGAGAGAGAATCCCAAGTAGGCTCCGCACTGTCAGCACAGAGCCCGGCATGGGGCTCAAACTCACCAACCGTGACGTCGTGACCTGAGCTGAAATCAAGAGTTGGACGCTTAACCGACTGAGCCACCTAGGTTCCCCCTTGTCTCCTCTTTTTAAAAATAGTTTTACCACCCATGTATGCGTCTCTAAGTGGGGTAATTTAGCTTTACCTATTTCTAAAAAACTTTACATAAATCGAATTGTCCTGTTTCTTTTTGTTCTGGCTTCTTTCCCACAGTATTAAGGTTTATTTATTCATGTTGCTGCGCGTCGGTGAAGTTTGTTTGTTTTCATTAGTGTATAGCATCCCATTGTATGAACCTACTGCACAGTTGCTTTACCAGTTCTATGGTAGAGGGATATTTGAGCTGTCTCTAGTTTGGGGTTACTGCGGGTAGCATTGCCATGAGCAGTTTTTATGTATGCTCGTGCATTTAAATCTTTGCCCATTTTTGAGCGGGTTCTCTTTCTCTTACGGACTTATAGGAGCTCTACGTGTGTTCTAGATACCAGGCCTCTGTTAGTCACGTGTGCTGGAAATACCTTCTGCCACTTGCGGCTTGCCTCTCTGCTCTCTCAGTGGCATCTTCGGATGAACTTACAAGTTCTTGGTTTTAATGAAAATGATCTTTCATTTATAGTTAGTGGGTTTTGTTTTTGTTTTGTTTTGTTTTGTTTTTTGGTGCCCACCTTGCCTAAGAAATCTTTTTTTCTTTTACCTGGAGGTCGTAAACGTATTCTGTTGTATCTTCTAACAGCTTTACTGTCTCACGTTCCTCTTTCCAGCCCACATGGAAGTGATTTTTTGTGCGCGGTGTGACAGACAGTCCAACTTCCATTTCCCCATATGGACAGCCCACTACCCCAAATAGCATTTATTGAGGATGCTATTTATGTATTGAAAATCCCGCGCTCTGCTTTGAAGTGCCACAGTTGTCATAAATGAAGAATCTGGATCTGGGTCTATTCCTGGGCTTTCTATTCTATCCACAGATCTATGTGTCCTTGTGCTAGCCCTACACCGTTTCCATCACTGCTGCTTTATAATACGGTCTCACGTCTGGTGGAGCAAGTCCTCCCACACTGCTGCTCGTAGAGGTGTCCTGGCACCTCTTGACCCTTTGCCTTGCCTCACACAGTTTAGAAATCAACTTGTCAAGTCCCGCAAAAACAAACGCGTGAAATAAGCCGCCGGGATTTTCATCGGGACTTGACTAGGTCTTCTCTGCTTCCTTTCAGTGAGGCGTTTGTAGTTTTTCTCCTACAGAGGGCTCGTACAGCTTTTGTTGGGTTTATTCCCGGGTGCTTGATTGTTGAAAGCAGTTGTCAATGTTACCGTGTTTAAAAATGTATTTTCTCATGTCGCTTCGCTGGTGTATGGAACACAGTTGTGGGCGTGTGTATATGTAACTAACATCCTTGCCCATACTAGCAGTTCTTACGGATTCTAAGACTCATCCTGCAGATTCCTTTAGATTTTCCCAGTCTACCATCGCACCGTGCGTGAATAGGGACAGATTTGGTTTTTTTCCATCCTAGTCCTCGTACTTCTCTATTTTTCTTCTCGCCTTAGTACGCTGGTTAGGACCTCCATCATAAAGAGTGCTTTTGAAAATTAATTTTAGTTTTTGGCCAACTTAATAACTGGCGTCTATTAATTACGCTAAGCAAATTAACTGCTTCTTAAAACAGGATTGAAACATTCAAAAAGGAGGAAAAGTGAATATATGAAAAGCCTCCCTCCTACTCCAAACCTTCATTGGCTTAATTTCAACATTTTAGCAAGTTTTATTCGTACAGGCGTGTACTTGCGAAACCTCACCTTTCCGACGTCCTGTTCGACGTCTGTCCTCTCACCTCCTACAAGTCCGGTGCACCCTGTCCCTGTCACGTGCCGGCGCCTAGCTCCGCGTCAGCACGCAGTAGGCACCCGGAGCACTTTTGCTGAGTGGACAAGTGAGAATCTGTTTGGTGGAGAGCCTGTTAAATCGAAATTGATTTCTCTTAAGAAACTGTTCTTTCCTTTCCCACAAGATGCTTTCCCCTCAAATTCCACTAGAATTTTTTTTTTTTTTTAAATCAAGAAAGAGGGGAATGTGCCAGCAGCTGCTAGTCTTTTCCTTGGTAGATTTGGTAATTAGGTTTGGAGACCTGTACAGAGGATTTGCCCATGCGGAGATTAGTAGGATTGTGAAATACAGTGATTCGCAATCCTGGCTGCACATTCAAACCACCAAGGAGCTTTAAAAGAAAAAAAAATAATAATCCTGATGCCTGGCCTTTGCCCTGGACCAACTGACCCGAACCTCTGCAGGCGTGGTCCTGGCACCTGTAGTTTTTCAAAGGTCTGCAGGTGATGGTGGGGCGCATGGGGAGGAGCAGGAGGTAGGGTTTACAAAGGCACACGAGGAGATGTTTGGGGGCGATGGGTGTGTTCGTGACCTTGGTTGCGGAGATAGTTTCATAGGTGTGTACGTACGTGAAAACTTATCAGATTGTACACCATAAGTACGTGCCGTTTATTGCACGTCAATTAGACATCAGTAAAGCTGTTTAAAGAAAAAGCGCCCCAGGTGATTCTCACACACCAATAGGGTCGAGAGTCGCGGTTTTAACAGAAAGAGCACACGACTGCTAGTGGAAGTTGGATAGACCTTCATCTGCCAACAGATGAGCCGCTTTGTCCCCTCTGGAGCTCAGTTTCATTCTGGTTGGTGGGTTGTTTTTCTCTCCAGTACTTTTCAGCTCTGACATTTTGATTCTGCTCAGCCTGGCCGTGTGGGCCAGGCTGTTGGTACACCTCCCGGCCACACGAGGGGGCTGTGCAGCTGGCGGCCTCTTCCTCGCAACTGAACACTGGTGAGGTCAAAACAGGCTGGTCAGGCGTCTGTCTTTCCCTTTTGTCTGTCCTCTTGGTGAGCGCCAGCCCCACTTCTGAACCACCGTCGTCAGCTGCCCCCACCCGGTGGTCCTGCTGCAGGTGAGCCTTTCTTTTTCCAAAAGCAAAGTAAATCTGTGAATCTCTGAATGGGTAGAACGGCTTTTAAAAAGATTCCCCATGTTGCTTTGAAATTAGCCGGCTCCCGTAAAGGAATTAAAATAGGATCTAATTGAAGTGCATGTGTGCATACCTACATATGTTTATATGTATGTGTTCATCAGTAAGCACACTGACAGAATTACTCTACTGCCCCCAAGAAAATGATCCATTCATACAAAAGGCAGTTACGTGTTTGTTGCAGGCACAATTTCGGGATCCTTCAGGCAGTAAACATCGCTTAGGTAAAAATGGAATGAAGGTTAGCAAATAAGCCAAGTCTTTTTTCCGTTGTGTATATGATATAAGGTACCTAAATGAATGAATGTGTGAGACGGAGTGTGTGTGTGTCTGTGTGTGTGCTTATCTGTCTCTGTGTTTACATATCTTCAGGCGAGCAGGTTGGCTAAATATTTTAGAATGTAATCTACTTAGACCCCTCTGGGCATTAATCTCGCTTTTTCTGAGACCTGACAGGGAAAAACAATCTGGATGCCAGTCGGAAGAGGCTGACTAGAACTAATGTTACAGAATGATCTAGCTATATCAGAAATGGTGATAAATGCATTATTTTCAAATCCAGCTCAGAAATAAAAAGCAAATGCTTTTCTGAAGCACAGCAACTGCAGGGAATTCTGGTAAAAAAGAAAGGACCCTCCCCCACCCTTGCACACACGGAATTTTCCGAATAACACTGAGTAGCTCTTTTATTTTTTTTTGTCTGATTGCATCATTTTTCTTCCATTTTGATTCCTAAATTTCAGATTATTCTACGAGCCAGTCACAACACCTTGTGGCCATACATTTTGTTTAAAATGCCTTGAAAGATGCCTAGATCACAATGCAAAGTGTCCGCTGTGCAAAGATGGTCTTTCGCAGGTAAAATATTATTTCTTTCTTGATTAGGTTAGATTATGTGGACTTGGATACTAAAATGGTGTCCTGTTTGATCCTAAGCCAGTGCACTGTGCTAGGGAAAAATACCCTCTCACACCACCTGTCTATCTTTCCCGTCTTACAGCTACCCCTCCCCTCTTTGCCAAGTCCTTCAGGAAAATGAGGCGACATCCAGCTTTTTATGAACTGTCAACAGTGAAATTAATTTGTGTTGGAAACAAAAGTATTAAATCGATGGCAGACATGGATCCTGGTGCTAAGCCCATCCATCATGGCACCTGGTGCACTGCCATCTTGGGTGAATCTTCTGTCCTCTCTGGGATTGGACTAGATGAGCTCTGAAATCTTCTTGTCATCCATGTTTGTTCTGTGGTTTGCAGAGATCACTCCCAGGTCCCCAGAAAAACCTCGCAGACCTTCAGCGAGGTCCTTGTCCCGGCCCCCCCCCCCGCCGCCCGAGCTGCTGTACTTATTAGCAGATATTTAGCTACTTGGAAAGCTCTGGGGCTTCCAGGTCCTTTCAGATGAGCCACACGGACTGCCACCATCGTTTTTCAGGTGGACCCAATGGAATTTCCTATAGCACAGGAATGCCCAGGAACCCACCTTGCTTTCCCTCCCCCAAGGACTTGTGTGGCACACATCACAGCCAGTGTTAATGTTCCTTGACCCTTGTCATCCCTGAGGAGAGCTCAGCGATGCAGGACACCCTCTAGGTGAATGTAGGTCCAGTGAAGTCACATGTTGAGTTTTCCCAACACCTGAACGTTTAAACTAAGAGAATGGAGTAAAATGATCATCCAGGACGACCCTGGGGTGTGTATTGGGTTGGAGGGGAGGGTCCCTGCCATCCCTTGCCTCAATCAAGGGGTGGGATTTTCCTGGCCTGATTGTGGGGGAGAGGCCCACGGTCCTTATACTTAAATATACATCTGTGTTGTGGTACCACTACAACATCCAAATAAGCAGAAAGAAGAAAAACCTACCCGTATGCTCAGCACCTGGAGAAAACCACCATTAACATTTTACTGTGTGCCTGTCCTGGGTTTTTGTTTTAGCATCAGTGGGGGAGTCACCTCCTCCATGGATTAGCTACCTCCCGAGTCATTGCTTTTCTCCAAAGACTGGGACGGGGCAAAGCAGTGGATCTTCTGCAGCCAGGCGATGGCAGTGGCTGAGAAGGCATCCTAGAAGCAGATGCTGTGGGGTCCCAGAAAATGTTCTCGTCTACCTCTGCGTGTTCACACAGGGTCGCACTTACACCATTTCCAAGAGAGAGAAATATTTTATTCTAATCGCGTTCACTGCAGAATAGACACACACAGCCCATGCTGGGAAAGGAAAAATAGTCTCGAACCAGCAATTTTATACTCAGGAGCTCCCCCTGCTGGGTCTGTGTGGGTAGTGTCCGTAGCAAACAGTTCGCAGATGTTTTAACTCCCGTGGTCTGGTTCACACAGCTCAATTCCCTCTACCTACGGATCCCTGGATATGCATGAAGTTAGTTAGGGGTGTTTGGGAGGATAGTAATAGTGACACTCGGGCCTGAGTTCGTTTCTGAATTCATGGCTTATAACATAATTTCAGTGATACCTAGATGGTATATTTAAAAAACAAATAGACACAATCCCCAGTATTTAGCTGTTTTGTTTTGTTTTGTTTTCAGCTAAAGTTAGAGGGAGAAAAATATTTAGACTGGCAATATCCAGAAGCCAAGCATTGAGGTGGGGCGGGGCGGGGCGGGACGGGGCGGGGGTGGGACAGGTCAGGAAAAGATCAGTGATGGACAGTGGCTTTCTCGTTCCCTGAACCTTTAGACCAGAGACTTCCAGCATATCCCAGATGGAGACCATTTTTGCCAGCTTGTAAATGCAGTAACCAATAAAAGGAAAAGGAAGGGTTTCCCCCCTTTTTTGACAAGAACATAATCTCCACTTGAGTGTTTTGGGAAAGCTAAACTTTTGAAACTTCAATGCGGGTCTTTTCCCCTTGTTAAAGTATTTTTTTCTAATTATAAAAGTAATCGCATGTAACATCCAGAGAATACGTGCGTGATGATGTTACCGGCTGCTAATGTGTGGGTCCAAATTACTCTCAATGTGTGGTTGATTCAGCTGTTCTGCTGATTACGTGAGAAGTGCTTTGTGGTTTTCTGATGGCTGCATAATGTCTCGGTGCCCTGTTGCCTCTATAGTGCTTGGCATCCAGAAAATATAGCAAAAATGTCATAATGGAAGAGCTAATAGCTAAATTCCTGCCAGAAGAATTCAAGGAACGCAGGCGGCTTTATGAAGAAGAAATGGAAGAACTTTCCAAGTACGTATTTGCATCTCTTTTCAGTTTCACTCGTAGCAGCTCGTGGAACTGAATGTGCACGTTTCTCCCTAACTGCTCACTTAGCAATATCGTGCTGGTAGCTTGATGTTGGCCTCGGTGGGCGTATCTACACTATATAGAAATTGGCAACCGCTATGAGCCGGAGCTTTCCACCCGCCGACAGCCAGCTGTTCGGCAGTCGCCAGCACGCGCCTGAAGACGCATAAGCCAAACCACCGACCGGGTCAACGTCTTGGCGCTAGTAACTGGGTGTCACTGGTAGGAGCAAACCGAAGCAGCTAGATCAGGGGAACTTACACAGCGTGCGGAAGGTTGTTTGCAGAAACCTCAGAAGGTGCTGGGAGGTTAAGAACCCTGGTGTCAGCCAGACCTGGGCTCGTGACCCAGTTTTGCCACAAAGCGAGTATCCTTCAGGACCTTAGGCAGGTCACTTGACCTCTCTGGGCCTCAGTTTCCTCATCTGTAGCTTGGGAATAGTGAAGTCCTTACCTCACGTGGAAGATCACATGAGCTAGCGCACAGGAAGCACTCAATACGTGGTAAGAGTAAGGCTGTTTCTTGTTACACGCGTCCTCTGCCATGCACATTTGTGGCTGAGGGGTGAGTCTGGAGGTGCCCGTAGGGCTCCAAGCTCTCTGCCTGGCTGGAAGGACAGACCGCCTAGCAGAAACAGCAGGAGGCGTTCTCTCACTTCTGCGTCTCATACCGCTGCCCTCCCACCTCCGGATCCCCAGTAGGGTCCTCGCAGCATTCTGGGGGCCAGGTTCCCGATTGCAAAAGCTGCTCTGGTTTTCTGCCCGCCCTGTAGAGCACATTTCTAAACTGCCACTGGTTCGTTTGAGTGGGCCTCTCGCTTCGAATACTGTGTTTTCCTGAGAAGCTAGAAACTAAATCCTATTGTTCTCATTGACTTACTAGTCAGGGCATCTTTATTTTTACTTCTGATTCTTAAATTCACCGCGAGTCTCTCTGAGCCCTTGTCTCAAATATCATTTAATGCTTTATTAATAAACACTGGAATATGCCAAGAGGGATTTCTCTTTAAAGAAATCCTAAACTGAATCCTCTGGGGGATTTGGGCAGATGGTCTTGTATCCATTGATAAGTTCCAGTGTTGGATTTAGCCAAGAAGAGAACAGTGATCCAGGAGGAGCTGGCCCCATTGGCGTAGTTTCCCATCAGGCTGTGTGCCTGCTTCTTCATGGACACTCGAAGGGTAGACCCCTGGGTCCCGGCTCCAGACCTTATATCCCAGTGTCTCTGGGGTGATGCAGCCCAGTTGTCTGGATTTAAGGGCCCCCAGTGATTCTGACGCATGGGAACGTCACTGGGCTAGAGGACACTTGCCTCTCTTGTTGCTCCCTCCTCCTCCTCCCGGCCGGGCCTGCCGCCGAGCAGACCTTCTGGGGGCTTTGCAAATTTGTAATGCTGATGAGACCTTGCAGAGATTTTCCCACCATCCCCCTGGAGAGCTGGGTCCGCTTTTACTGCCAGCAGGACACCTGAAGAGATTGTTCTGAGTAGAGGGCACGAGAGGAAGAAAGAACTATGAGGTTTAACTATCACCCACAATGTGAAGGTACTAGAGGATGTTTTTTAAGCCAAATTGGAATGTACAGAATGTCAGTTTCAATCTCTTAGCTCTTAGGCTAACCTCTGCACCAGTAATGGGACTTAGCCCATAGTGTCGGTTGCATCTCAGTATTTTTTTTTTTTTTTTAATCAGCCATCAAAACCTGAGGTCCCCTGGCCTTACTGTGGGGGAACCACAAAGTGACATTTGACCAACCTTTTTGTGTTCTGCTTCACGGCTTTGAGAAATCTGTCATTTGCTCTTCCTGACAGCTTGAATAAGAACGTGCCTATTTTCGTGTGCACTATGGCCTACCCCACGGTTCCTTGTCCCCTGCACATTTTTGAGCCTTGTTACCGTCTGATGATCCGTAGATGCATCGAAACAGGTACAAGACAGTTTGGCATGTGCCTTGGAGATCCTGTCAAAGGGTAAGTGAGGAGCTACGTGAGTAAATGGAGGTTGGGTAGAGAGGGATTTGGGCTTATTTGGGGTGCCCCCAGGAGATAGGGAGGCACAGCTCCTGAGATTTAGCCAGCTCACGACCGTGAGCACCCATAGAGACTGGGGTCTCTCTGGCCCCTGGTTTACCATGTAACAGGCTGCCTATTTAAAGGAACCCCAAGGATTAATCTTTTGTTAAACGAGCGGTACATACCATAAAACTTGTTTTACTGTAAGACCGCGGGACCTGGAGTCCCGTGCGTGGGTTCATGTTCCGGCTCCAACCTTGGAGCAAGTTTGCCTTTGGGCAAGTCACTTAACCTTTCTGTGACTCAGTTTCCTGATCGGTAAAGTGGGTACAATGATAGCGGGCGTGTTGGGAAGATTGGTGCGTTAATGCACGTAAAGCACTGAGCACACCACACGCAGTATATGCTCAATGAATGGGAGCAGTTACATTATTACAGGAAGATTTTTCTTGGCACAGGTGCTGCCTGTGGTGTAGTTGCAGCTGTAGCCCCCGGGACAGGCAAATAGGCAGAAGTCCCTGGAGGCACAGCCCGGGGTTACAGAAACGGCTGGGGAGCCAGGCCGCAGAAACAACTCACCAAAAATGTACTTTCTTACGCATTCCCAATAAGCAGGTTTGCGGAATATGGCTGCATCCTAGAGATCAGAAATGTTCAGTTCTTTGCTGATGGCCGCTCGGTGGTGGACAGCGTAGGCAAGAGGCGCTTCAGGGTCCTCCATCAGGGCCAGCGAGATGGTTACAATACAGCCGACATTGAATACATTGAAGACCAAAAGGTGAGGGTGGCCCGTGCCAAGAATCCCAGGGCCAGGCTATCCCTGTAGCTTGGCGGGCAAAGGTGTTTGCAGAAGAATTGCTCAGCGCTGTCGGGGGGCCTTGGGATTTCTCACCAAATGGCTGCAGCGACATCGCATGCCGCCGGCTTGCCGTTCGATTGTAGGATGGCAGCAGGAGCACCCCGTGCCCTGGCTTTCCCCCTGGTTAGTTGCTGAGTTGTATTCCTGCATAAGAAATGCCAAGCCAGATCAACAACCCTGGGGCCCGTTCAGCCCAGGGGTCAGGTTTCTGCCAGAGATACCAAGGGATAGATCTGGGAGTGATATCTACACCCACGTATTTTATGTACCAGTTCGTTTATGTTTTCAAACATTTCATTTTGAGATGATTGTAGATTCACACGTACGTTTGTATTTTTAAATGCGCGACCCGGCTAAGGGTTCTTCCCTATAATGCGTCATCCCATCAAGGAGAAAGATAACGTGTCCAGTTCATCCTTGGTTTTCTGGACTAATTGGAAGAACAAGAAGTAAATAATCCCACGTTCGTTTATATTTACATTCACCATATAGTATAAGGTTAGTAAATGTTCGATCGACGAATGAAGGTATTGGACTTAGGAAATAGAGTTACACAGTGAGAAACAGACACACCTGTGTCCCTCTTCCCAGTGGACACTGGGAAAGCAGATATGAAACGTGAAAAGGAGAGAGGCATAAGCTAGCATAAGCGAGCTCAACAGCACGCCTCCACTCAGGCCAGTTCGCATCTCTGGTTTTCAGTCTATCTTGCTGTTTCAGCTAATGCGCCCGGAGGAAACTTTCTGCTTCCTCCGCACTCAGCAGTAGTCACACACAGCCCACCCTCTGGCTGAGGAGCCTTTCACACACCACACAGGAGAAAGCTGGGTGGGCGAACCTTCCTAGGGACGCAGGCCGGATGCCCGAAGGGAGTCTGGTGTCAGCAGAAGCTTTGGGAGTGATGGAGAAGGGACAGAGTGCTTCATTTCCACTTTGATACTTTCAGGTTCAAGGAGAGGATCAGGCTGAGCTCATGGGATTACATAACTGTGTCTATGAGCAAGCGTCATCATGGTTTCATTCGCTCAAAACCTCTCTGAAGAATCGGATACTCAATCACTTTGGTCCAATGCCAGAGAAAGATGCTGATCCTCAGGTATATAAAAATGTCTCTCTGTAATGGGCTGCCCCCAGCAGATGAGAGCGCCCAGGGTTTGGGATTGGGTGGGTGCATGGTTGCCATTCAGCAGATCGAGTGCAGAGGGGGAGATAGATCCAATTTGGTACTGTTTCACCGGGCAGTGGGCATCAGGGGTAAGACTCAAGGATCTGAAGTCAGAATTGGAGTGATAAAGGAAAGCAGTAGGAACTTGGATCCCAGACAGGCTTTGAGACATAAGTCAGGTGAGAGATTGGGAACATAGACACCATCCACCAAAGAACCTTCAGTGGGAGTCCAGGTTCACACCATGGTAATGTGTTGGGGTGACAAGATTCACACAAAGGCCAAGCTTAAGAGAAGGGTATCCCGGGAGCTGAGACTAAAGGCTTCTATTTCATAACCGTCAGCCCCATTGCTGCAGGAGCTAGGAGACGGCACCAGTCGCCTTACAGGATTCCAGCTGCCAGACCGCAGCACCTTCTCCTCTCTGGGTCCCTCCCTGCTTAGCCCTGCAGATGTAGACCCTTGTCATTGTCCTCATCAGGGGTGAGCAGGTCCTGAGCAAACAGACCCAATCTTTAAATTTGCCCTTTGCCGAGTTATACCAGAAAGCAGTTGATTAGGTGCTACTGGGTCAAGTCTGTTTCCTGGGGGGACAGGCCCACTTGAGAGATCAAGCTGCAGATCGGAAGCTCTTCAGGCAAGTGGAGATAGTTGAGTTTCACCAACCCAACTTTGGTTGCCTGATAGATCGGACAATACTGTCTCTCTAGGACAAGGCTGGAGATAACTTAGTCAAGTATTTGCCCACCGTCGCCCTTCCTGCATTCTGAGCTGGCTCCCCTGCATCATCACCTCCGTGACTTCCTTGATTCTTTACTTACACTCGTTCCTGACTCTGTCACAGTAGTAAGAATGTGTATTTCTGATTTCACTGCCAACAGACTGATCCTTACCGCTCTAGCTGTGTGACCTTGGGTAAGACCCGCCCCTTTCTCAACTTGTCTCCCAGCTCTGGAATGAGGGAGGTGGATGAGGAGGTCTCTAACGTCCCCTCTTCCTCTTGCATCTGTGGCTACAGAACACCAGTCTGTTCCCTGATGGGCTGAAATGTCTCACTCTCTCCAGACCGCAAAGGTGGCCCCTTTGCCTCCATGCAAAGGCATCGTGAATGTTGAAGGGAGCAAGGCCAGTCAGTGCTTCCCAGTGACCCAGCTCCTGGCTCTGGGCCACTATGACTCAGGACTACATCAGAGCTCTGAGCAAGCTCATGATCAAGTTTAATGTTCCCCTTCACCTTCTGGAGAGCATTCTCCCTCGGTCAGGCAGAAGGTAGCGATCAGCAATGATACAGCAGCTTTCATAAGAGAAAACACAGATGCCACAGAGTGATTCATAAGGGCTCGATGACACAGAAAGTTGAAATCTTGGTTCATTTCCTTTCTTATTAGAACTGTTCTCACGTTGCTTTGGCAGCAGTCGCGCAAAAAAAAAAAAAAAAAAAAAAATCATCCAGTTTGATCCAGTCAGTGCTGCAGCCCCAGCGGTGCCATTAATAAGAATGTTCTAAGCCTCAGAAGGAGGCTTCTCAGAAGCAGCCACAAGTGTTAACATCAGCTTAAATATCTTTGTTAATGGCCCTGGGAAAGAAAGTCTAGAATATGTCAGTTTCATATTCAGAACTAATAATAGGATGGAGAGCCTGTTACAGATCACAGTGAGGGACAAAAAAGAATTCAAATGAAGCTATAGGCACAGAGAAGCCAAGAAGACGGCAAGGTTTGGGAAGAACCAGGTGAACCCATTTGGAGGCAGATAATCCCATGTGTAGGTGGTCTGACCAGAAGGTGGTTCTCCACAGTCCTAAACCAACCCTCCGCAAGTTGTGATTGTTTCAGGCTCCATAGGAAGTAAGTCACCAGTGTCTTAAAACGTGTGGCTGGGAAGCTGCTGACAGACAGAATTTCGGTGAAGGATTCATGTGGGATGGGAAAGCTCCTCATTAGAAAGAAACCTGGGGACGTAATACATTTCTGACATGAATGTGTTCTCAAACTGGAATGTTTGCAAAGGGGGGTTGCTGTGCTTTGGGGCCGTGGACCACAGGCTCCGGTTTCAGAGGAGAGGCTCGCTGTGGCCTTGTACAGCGACATGGCGTACGTGGACTATGTTGCCCGCGGCCAGAAGCAGGGAAATACAGGGCGTTAAGAGACCTGCCAAGCCCAAGGGATCATGGGAATTGAAGGCCCATATGCTGTCAGGTGTCCGTCCCGAGAGCCTGAACAGAATCTTGGAAGTGGACCAGACTGAGCAGTGGCTGGGAAGTATAGCGTATCTGTTAGGACACCGATGTGTTTGCTTTAACAACTACTAAACATGGCCGTAGCTTGAACCAGGTAGAGGGCTAGGGCAGCTCTGTCCCATGAGATCATTCAGCGACCCAGTCTCCTTCATCACAAAGCTCTATCATCCTTAGAATGTTACCCCTGTCTTCCCGATAGAAGAAGGCCGGTCACCACCGTGCTCACACGCTAGCTAGGGGCAAGAGAGAAAGAGTGAGGCGGGAGGCACATGCCCCCTTCCCAGAGCATGGCCCCGAGGTTTCGGCGTCCCTTCCCTTTAACATCTCATTAGCCGGAACTTTTGTCTCGCGGCCGCCCCTCGCTGCCGCGCAGTCTCTGTCTTCTGGGTGGCTGTATGCCCAGCTCAGAGAAGGGGGGGGAAGTAGACGTGGGGGTAACTAGCCGTCTGCCCGACACAGAAGCAGTTCCACCTGGGATGTTTGCCTTGCAGCTTGGGAAACCTGCAGGCCGATCTCACTTCTGCGGGAGTGGGGTGAAGCCGTGTGTTTCTCTGTTGTAGGTGAGCCCGAACGGTCCAGCCTGGTGCTGGTGGACATTAGCGGTTCTTCCACTGGAAAGCCGAGCTCAGCTCCCGTTCCTAGCGATGAGGTCCTTGAAGGACAGACTGAATGGGATTCGGCGAGTCCTGGCCTTTATATCCCGGAACCAAAACTAGCGAGAGTGGATCGCTGAGGAGAAGCCCCCACCCTCCCTGCCGGCTTGGGGGAGTCATCTTGTAAATATATCTAACTGCAATAACATCTTAACAGAAGGAAGTATCAAACAGGCATTTCCCTGCTGTTGATCGCAGAGAGGAATCGTGTAGAAAGGCCAGAAGCACGGGGCCTGTTTGAAACTTCCTGGCTGAAGATGCTTCTTGACATGCTGCACAACTACATGCTCAGCAGAGGTGTTTAAGAGCCCAGAAAAAAAAAAAATTCATTTGATTTTTGACATCCAGTTTTCTGGAAGTTTAAAATGGTTTTGCTTTCATTTTCTTTCTTGCACAGATAAATGTGTAGTTGAAATGTGAAGCACACATTCTGGTAACGCTGCTGCGTTATTTTCACGGACTTGGGTTCTCATTCCAGATGGTTCGGGTTTTATACGGCATTGTGTAGAAAAGAATGTTCATCCTTTCCGTTTTCATAATTTATTTTTTTTTGGCACCACTGTATCCCTTTTTTCTACCTGTCTGTTTGTCACTGTTTAAGTGTACGTTACTGAAGAGCCAGTTGCTTTATTTATTAACGTGGTTTGCCATCTACCCAGGGGGAAGGAGCAGTGCTAGCAACGTGCCGTTTTTGCTTTAAACACATTCTGCTGTGTTTGATCCCGGTTTGCGAGCCGTTTTTGTATCTGTCCCATTGGATGTGTAAAGGAGGTTCGGAATCACGCTGAGACCGTCGCCCGTCACGGGTTCCATGTTGCTTTCGTTTGGAATTCAACAATATAAAATACCTAAGCGATTTGGCAGGCGTTATGGAATAGGCCAGGGTGAAGGAAAACAATCCATTTTCTGGGTGGGACACCGAGCAGGGCCGAAGGAATGATGGCTCTTGAATGAAGACGTGACTCAGAGGGGCGTCGTTTGTGAGTGATCTGTTTTAGGCATTTATTTTCAGCAATCTAATCAGAAGGGTCTCTCCCTTCTCCCCAGGGTTAGTTACCTGGCTGGCGCGTATGAAAACACATGAAGGGCTGCCGGTCATTGAAGGCGGAAAGAAGCCAGTAGAGACAGTAGAACCCTTAAAAACACAGACACGCTGTCTTTCGGGTTCGTACATCTTTTTAAAGGAAACAGACGACGAACCCGTGGTTTTAGCTAAACGCTGCCTTCCCTCCTAGCTGCTGCGGGCCAAAGATTTCAACGTAGGGGAAGAACAGTGGATAAGAATGTAAGAGGGAGCCCTTGTTTAGCTTGCTTAGTGCTAGTGTGGTTCTGTCAGTGCCAGGAGAACCTGAAAAAGACTGTGAGGAGGGGGGGGTGTCCCAACGACGGCACGTGAGGAGATTAGGGCAGGCGAGAAGTGAATCACGCCATCCGTACCATCGTGCAAACTATCCCCCCACGTGATCCTTGGACGGACCCAGCGCAGCCCGTCTACTCCTTCGAGGAGAGGTGAGTGCCTCAGGGAATCGACCTGACTTCTTCCCACTACCTGCAGCCAGAAACAGAGGACAGAGTATGACGTGATCCACGTAAGCTGAAACCAAATGATCCCTCCTTCTGAACTTGCTAAATGGGTGCTGCATTGTCAGAGCGTTGTGTTGTGTTACCAGGTTTGATGTTCGCAGCCAGACTGGGCCGGCAAAGAATGGACGTATAGGCGTGGTTACTGCCCAAGCAAGCTCTGCAGGGCTCGGGGAGCAGGGAATTAAGCGTTCCTCTTCCGGCTCGGTGCCCAGCCAGCCAGAAGGTCAGAGCACAGTCCTCGTGAAATAGTTTCCTGTCATCTCGTGTAAATGCAGCAGAGGAAAGGTCGTAAACATCTGCGCTTGGTAGATGTGTTCCCTTGTGATTGAACTTCTTCTGGGCCCCAGTTTCCTCATCTAGCAAAGGGTAGTGACCAATGCCCCGTGTAGGGATGTTAACGGACATTATATGAGGTAACGTATGTAAATCGCTTAGCACAGTGCCGAGCACCTAGGAGACATCCAAAAAATAATAGCTGTGATTAGATTGTTCATAGTTACGGAATATCATCAGGGGCCCACACTTGCATAAAACACTGCCTTTCCATGCGGTACCCATATCTGCCCCTTTAAACTTGGCTGGGGAGATCCCCACCGCTGATTTTCGGACCATAACTTGATGCTTTACAGTTAATTCCCTTTGGAGCCACGTCTGTTTGGGAAAACGAAAAGACTCGAGAAGAGATGAGGGTCAGAGACAAGGGAGGCTTCTGGGCCAGCCAGTTTTCCCTGCTCCAATAAGATTAAAAAGCAGTGCTGTCTGGAGGTCTAGAATTGCCAATAAAAATCTTGGCCGTGCCAGGGTGAATGGGTTTCACAGTCTGACTTCTGTGCTTAGTTCATGGGATTTCCTTATGCTGCCCCAACAAACTTATTTTGAACCTGCTGTGTACCAGGTACTGAGCCAGGCGATTTCACATATGTGAGTTCATTAAATCACCTATTCTGCACAGCAGCCCTGTGAGATCAGTTATCACGCCCAGTATCACAGATGAGAAGGCTGAGGTTCTGTGGTGTTAAATACTTTGTCCAGATAGCACAGTTAAGCAGTTACTAGCATAGCCAAGATTGACGTTGAACCCCTTCCTTTGCATATGTTTAACATTTTAAACAGTTTGTGTTGCACGTAGTTGTATTAAACAGGCATGGCAACTGAGTCACCAAAGCTCCCCAGAAGCTCACAGTTCAGATGGAAGCTGCAGGCTCAATAAAATTCAGTTACCTCACACACATTTCTACTTAATCTCGGTAGAAAGGGAAGTTTGATTTTTTTTTTTTTCTTTAAATAAAGTTCCACATCCTAGAATGTTCCATGTCGGTAAGTGAGCACCTAACTCCAGCACACGTAGATCTTGGCTGGAACAGAGTTGCCCTGTACGTTCAGTGGCCTAAATAGACGTTTGGGTTATTTTATAGCAAGCTCTGGTTTCAGCAGTGGTGGGAGGCAGGGTGCAAGGCTAAGCCTTGGCTTTCTGTGGGATGTACTTGAATGGGGCAGTCAGTTGAATGTGGCCATTTTCGCCCCTTATAAATTGATTTTGCTGCAAAGCTTGGGTTTGAAGAGAATACGGAGAAAAGACATAAAGCTAAATCTAGGCCAGAAGTACAAGACTTCCCCCTTGGTAGATAGGGCCATTTATTTGGTTAATTTTCCTATCATGACCTAGATTATTTTTTCTGTGTATGTATATATATATGTGTATATATATATGTATATGTGTGTGTATGTGTGTGTGTGTGTGTGTGTGTATATATATATGTATATATATGTGTGTGTGTGTGTGTGTGTGTGTGTGTATACACATTAGGTACCAGGCAGATACTATGCCTTTCTGCTTTGTACTGTACTACCACTGCTAGCTAATAACCAGCAAAATGTAGAAAATGAAAAATGATAAAGCTAATTTTCTATAGACAACCTGGAGAAAAGAGTGCTTGCCCCTGACTTAATGGGGGCAGAGAACTGACTATTTCAAGAATTTGCCTTTTCTGAAAGCCGACTGCTTCCCGCCCCGTGGGGCCAGTCGAGTCGCTGCGTGTGTGGCGCTTCCAGCTCTGCCTGCGGGGCTGGCCTGGGCTCAGATAATCCCCTGTGACTGGCCGTGGGAGTCGCGGAGCTCCTGAGGCTGGCTCACAGCACCCAGAGGTCTCGTACTGTCCACAGCCTGCATGCTGTTGATGGGCCAGAATCCACTGGGGACAGCGTGCCCCTTGCCAAACTCCATTTCCAAGATGGGAGTTCTATTCAGGGACTCGGTCCTTGAGTTCCCAGCATGTTGACTTTGCATCCGTTTCCTTTTATCAAGGCAGAATCATAGCAGAGGGGTTGGGGCAAGGATGCAAATGGAAGGCAGCCCCCATAGTGGAAAAGAATAGCTCTTTCAGCCCATCTGGGGCCTGAGGGACGAGGTTGATTTACGATTGAAAACAGTTCTGAAAAGCAGCCAGCTGCACGGGGCTACAGCTTGGGGCCCTTCCTCAGTGCAGAGAGAAAGAAGGAAATGGAGTCATGTAAGATGTGCACATTCAGTTCCTCTTAGAATGATAGCTCCCACTGTCCAACTGTTTAATAATCTGGGTGGAGCGCATCCAGAGTCGAAATGAAGACGTTTTCACTTACAAATAGGTATTTTGCAACGCGCTACGTTCACCTTGAGAGAGAAGTGCCTGTAATCTCTGTTCCTGGTGTCATTTTAAAGCTTTCGCTTCATGACTTTGTAGCCGTTTAAAAATTTGTCGCAGCAAATGTGATTAACAGAAGTTTACAAAGCAGCACTGTAGCTTATGTGTCATGTTAAAAGTCGCCTAACGTTTAGCTAATGTAAAAGCAGCAACAATAAACAACAACAAAATAAAAGGAGAGCAAATAGGTCAATGTGGCATCATAGGCTTATCTGAGATACACTAGTTCCATCATTTTATGCAGTCCTCAGTAATGCCCGGATTAAAATATCAAGCAAGGCATTCAAACAGTGGCAAATGTGTCTGTGTATTTGTTATTCCAGTTGTTCGTTAAGCAGCCATTTTACTCTTGCACTGTAATAAACTGAAAGGGGAATTAAGATAATGCTTTCTTCCCCCCATATTGCTGTTCAACTACCTCTATATGCTTGGTTTCTCTTTAGGGTTTTCTTTCCTCCAAATCTGTACAAAAGCAAGATTTCAGCTCTTCTGCGTTGTCATAACAATGTGATATAGACAGTCTCTGTGAAAGCTGTTTGTTCATTAGGAATGTTTCCCGTTGTCTCACTTTGCATCTAACAGAATTCTACCCGTAACCTTAGGGCAAGAATTACCCAAATAGGTATCGTTTTTTGGAAGCCGAATAGAAAGGAAAGCTATTGGACCATTTAACTTGATCTCGTTCCCGTTGCTTATAATACGTTTGACCGGAAGACCTCTGGTCCAAGTAGCCTTGCACTTAGACACTAAGTTCTTATGCACTTGACAGTGAGGCCGGTGCGAGCTAATTAATGTGACTGATGTGTTCTGAAAACCTTGCCATAAACTGTTTTAAAAAATGCACCAGGAAATCTTGTTATTTACAGAATTTTGTCGAAGCATCTTGCCAATAATCCGCCCCTAGTTTACTTGTTAAGTCCATTCATATATTGGGTTTGCTTACAGCGGAACGCGCTACCTACTGTGTTTTCTTTGGCATTATAAAACATTTGTGAAAGTAAATGACGTTGTTTTTATTTCAGTTAAACTGTTTCTCAACGATGGGCTGTAGCTCAGGCCCAACGCGTGAACCTTTTGACAGGAACACTGGTAAAATTGACGGGGGCAGGGAGCGGTGCTGACCGAGCGGAGACCAGCAAGAGAGAGTCAGCAATGCCTCGTCTTCTCAGTACCTGTTGTAGTCTCCTGCCATCAGTGACTTTGTACAAGTTCTGTTCTGCCCCCGGGGGGGGGGGGGGCCGGGGGAATCCAAGTGGAGCGGGACAATAAAGATAAAAGGATAGCAAACTCCACTTGGGCCTGGCCTTTGTGTAACAGGGCCCTTTGGGTCACTGAGAAAAATGAGAACTCCTGACCAAGTAGGTCCCAGAGGAAATGCCTAGCCCCGTTGGACTTCTGTGCCCAGGCCGCCACTCTCTGGTGGTCGAGAGACAAAGCCCACCTCGGCCAGAGGCACACCCTTCCCTCCCAGGCGGTCCTGCCCAGAAGGCCTGCACGACTCTGAACCACCCTGCAGGCCTTGAGCGAAGCCGAAGCTGCCACTTTCTGCTTCCTCTCTGGGATCCAGCCTGGCTCCGCTCCTGTGAGTTCTCTCAGGCCAGAGATGTCTCCCTGGAAGGAGCCCCCAGTCTCAAAATGAGGTCAGAGCAAGAGAAGGAAAGAGCAAATGGCCTAGACCCACAGGCTACCAGATAATTTCAACTTTCCCTTCCTCCCATGACTTCATCACCCCCAGGAGGGGCTGAGGGGGGATGGGAAAGGGCCGGTGTCCGTACCGCCCACGTTGGCTTCTTCCAGGTAATGCAGAAATGCCCCCGCTGGACTTGTCCGCATTCAGCCCCACGTGAAGGCATGCCCTGGTCAAGGCAGGAGAGTGCAGGCCCCAAGGAGCCCTGCCTCTGGGTCTCTGAGCCCCTTTCTCCTCCCCTTTCCGGTTTTCTGTTGCTGACTTCCCCATCTCGGCCTCTGCTCGCATTGACCGGCCATCCACGTTTACCGTCCGCTTTTATACACACGTATTAGCAAGTGTCGCTGTTGCGTTAGAAAGCCCCAAGGAACCCTTTCTGCCTACCTTCTCGTGAGTCAACTTCAACGATTTTCTGGATGCCACAAGCGCAACGAAATTTTAAGTCCTGAAATAGCCCGCTCGCCCTAAGGCCAGCTTTGCTCTAAAAATCTTGCTCCTCTCACATTTTAGAGGGAACGTTACGGGAATATGCAGCAGAATCATGGGGACGGGGAGGGATCACTGCCCCTTTGGCCCATCGGGATACCTGTTGCCACTCCCAGCATACAACTACATTTTCTGCTCCTCCTACAAGCCCAAACGAGCTCTTACATGAGAGGACCAGCGG